GGAGCTGGGCTACTAATTTTTTAAACTGCTAGGTACTGATCAACAATCTTTAAAAAAACTCACAGGGTGTAACGAAATTATCCGGACATCTTTGACCCCACCCTACTGGAATTAAGAAGCACAAATCAAACTCGTTCTTTTCCTTTTAATGACAATATCAATATAGCCACCTTTCATACGAACACAATTACAAATGTGCTGGAGCATTCCAGCCACTGGATTCTCCAGCACACTGAGTTTGATGTGGACCAACGCCACGCCGTCTTGACCTGTGACTACAGTTGGGCAATGCTGGTGGTGGGTGACTCTTCATTCGCCTCCTGCTGGACAATAGCCCACAAGTTTTGATTGGATTGGGAAAGGAGCTATTTCTAAGTCAAACCCACTAGCCCAGAATGATAGGAGGTTCTCTCGGTCATTCTTCTAGGGCTTTGAGGTGGCGCGCCGCCCCGCGTGAAGACGGCGTGGCTTGAATCAGGCATCGGTGCGCGTTCAGAAACCGAGCCCCCCTGTGCCGTCCAGCTGAGCGCATCCATACATTCGTTGACCAGAATGTTGCTCGGGTAATACACGTTGATGGTGGTTTCCTGTGACCTTATGTGCAAATGGAACATCGCACAGCAGCTGAATTTGCTCCAGATCTGGATCTTGGCCGGATGTTTGACGCTGGTGACGGCCGGTACTTTCGAGCCTCTCGCCGCCCATACACGGCAGATTTGACGGTTCAAAGGATGATACAACTCGCGGTGACCCATCAGATCAGACCATTTTATTCAAGTCTTGCTCCAACCAGTGGACGTGCTTTTGTGTGAGGCTAAAGGCGGTGAGCTGGTTGATTTCCCGTCACTTGTGTTATCTTTTTCCGTTTCAATGGTAGCAAACAAAGTTGTAACTCGAGTAGCGATAGATCATGATGTGGGACCTCTTATTACATGCCTTGGTTAACATTCGAGCTAGTTTGCGCATTGATTCGTGTCTTTTCCTTGTCACTATCTCAATAACTCTTTTCACCACTTGGCAAACGGCGGTTTTTGCTGTCCCGGCCGGGCTGAGTCTACTACCATAGTCTCAGGTTACAACGCCTCAGGGCTCATGCAGATGTGCAACTGGCTGCTGCTAATTTTCAGCTGCTGGCAGACCATCCTCTAGCCCATGCCACCATAGATGTCGCCATGCCACCCTCATGCAATTTTGCTACAACAGGAGAGAATGTACCTACTCCTTTCCTGGCACTGCCTTGGACGAAAACTGCCAAGTGAACCCAGTGGTGACTCGACCCCAACTCACAGCAAAGGTCACCATGCAAGGTCAGGTCACTCCTGCAGTGAGGACCGATACCACAAGCACATATTCATTCAATTTACCCACTTCAAGCATCAGAAAAGAAATGGTGCACTAGGAACAGCTATGGAAAAATAGATGTCTGGATAACTTTCATACACACTGGTCAGATGTTATTACTGAGCTGTTAGCCTGTAGAAGTCCTTCAATTTACTAGCATTATAGGTATTAGGTATGTTCTAAAATTTCTGACAAAATGTTTTCTTACATAATGCACATAAATGTCACAAATGCCTCCCCACACAAAAAGTACCTAACAAACTAATGTGGTATCTACTAACCGCCTCATAGGCAATGTCTGACGGTGGATCCAACTCTCAGCTGGCTGGTACAATAAAGCCCACCAATCTAGATCCACTGTTGATTACTGACCTTCCTTAATCCGGGATAGCAGTTGTGACTTGTGAATTCTCAAGTGCTGGAAATGAGGCCGCTTTCTGGTCCCGGCGTTTTATTCTGCGGGCAAGTTAATCCCGTCCAGCGTTTAGCCTTTCGGGACCCAATCAGGGTCACGGTTGTTTTCACTGCTCACGCCAGTCGAGATGCAAAGTTAATAGTCACACGAAGCTTATTTAGGGCCAGCCAAATCAGCCTAGTCTGGAGTTATGTTAAATGTACCTATGCATGAAGATGAAAGAAAAAGGTCTTGTAGAATCGATTAAAGGGACCCTCCCACCTTCAAAAAAGTTAATGAATTGGCACAAAAGTGATGTCGCTCGGTTCAGAAAGAGCGAAAACAAATATCTACCAAATTTCATCGAAAAATATTCACCGGTTTTCAAGATATTAGACTTTTACTTTTGTTTACTTTTTGGGATCTCCGCTGTTCCTAGCGACTTTGTTTGAAAGTGCGGCATTTGTTGCGCGCAAAGCAGCATATACCACCGCGTGCTACCAAACGTTTTAGTAAAAGATTTAAAAATCGTTAGATCTCCGCTGACGTCACAAATTCTAAGGGGGCATACCAATGCACTAGCCCCTTAGAATCCGAAATCTGCAAGTTTGAAATTCCATATCTCCGAATTAAAGCATTTGTCGATGTTGTGAGTGCCCAAACCGGTATTTGCAGGCCATGGCCACCAATTTGGCTATCTCAACTCAAAACTAATGTTAAGGTGGGAGTGTCCCTTTAATTTCGAAGTCGTACATTCAGAGGCCCCAAATAAACTTCATGTGATCATCAACTTTGCATCTTGAATGGGCCAAATGGCGAAAAAAACTGCGGCTCTGAGAGGGTCCTGAAAGGCTAAGCGCTAGACTGGGCTAACCCAACCAGAGAATAAAACACCGGGACCAGAAAGCGGCCTCATTTCCAGCACTGGGCAGAATTTTAGCAAATGGTACAAGGCATAAGACTTTTGAATATCAAGTGACTGAGAATAAAGTTTGTTTAAAAAAGTTTGACTACGAGTTCCTTCTGAAACCCGCTCTGCGAGTTCTCTTATCACTTAAGCATTCAATTTAAAATTGTTTTCTGTAAATACATGGATATTGTAAGTGTAAAATCACATTCTATGAATTATGATGATGTCAATCATGGCACCTGGCAGCCATGTCCTAGTCCTTATGATATCAAAATGTGTAGGTACTTATGCAACGTCCAAGCAAAGTTTCGGAAAACTTCACTTTCCATCACCATGCGATTGTGAAATGCGAGGTCATAATCGAGTAGGCGGTTCGCTCCATAATAATGATATGTTGCATTGTTATGCAAGTTCTACAGCATGACATAACTTATGTTCTGATATTGGCAGACATCACACTATGACTATCCATAGGTACTATTTTGACGATTCAGATTTATTCTTAAAGGAAATAGTTCACTTTTTAACATGGGTTTTGAACTGGAATAGCAGTTCCGTAGCTTGGGCTGAGACGAGCATAAATCAGGAGCTTTTACAGCCCAACGATCACCCTAGGCAAAGATATTCTATTTCTCGTCCCGAAAAAGGTGTCTTGCGTTGAGGATGTGTGCCTTCATATATCGGGGTTACATGAGCACAGTAAATACGTATTTAGCCGCTAATTCGAATTAGGAACGCATTACCGACTCATGTAGCCACCTGCTAGTACGAATCGGCGATCCGATCCGCGGTTACATGAGCAAAGCAAATACGTATCACGATCGGATTCACCGCTAATGCGAATCAGGAGCGTACTACCGACTCATGTATCCACCTGCTAATACGAATCGGCGGTCCGAACAAAATCCGCTGGGAAAGAGGCTTAGTAGCGAATAGGACCAAGATACGTATTACAGGAACTATTTCTTCGCAAAAAGAAACATTAAAATGCAAAATAATAGGTAATTTTTTTCATTTTCTTCTTTTGAAATAATATTTAAAAAATATGTCGGTATTTTGATAAGTTTTCAACAATAAATATAGTGAAAACCAAATAGTAAATATCCACATAATTTCAGTTGAAACATTTTTCTGACAGCACTACAGACGAATCAAGAGAGGCAATTGCCCAATGAGTCAAAGCAAGACAACTTTTTGTTCAACTTTTTTTTGTTAAGTTAATTGAGAATGTTTTGAGCAGATTAAATGCAAAAAAGACATAAGATAATAAATTTTTAATTTAGTCACCTCTATTGCTACGGAAGTGCGCCACATTTGTATGCTATTCCGTTTGTAATGCGCATCGGGCCGAGAGCCAAACTAGATCCGTTTGACGTCACTGATACGAATTTGCTCATGTAGTCGGTGCACTGAATGCGTTCTTGGGGAGCTGATGCGAATTAGCGTATTGCGTATTTGGAACGGATCGCTCATGTAACCGAAACGTCCGAGGCACACGATTCGGGCCGTATTTCACAAGAACTATTTTTTGCTGACTGGAAGCGTCAAAATGCAAAATACTAAGCATTTTTTTTATTGGCTGCCTCGTAGAAAATAGCAAAAAAATGTTGGTATTTTGGTTTAGTCTTTGCATGTGAAATAAAATGAATGAAATATTTTGATAGATAATTTTTTCTGACCACCCTGCTGTCGCTGCATGGCGAATCAGTGCCAACTGACTTAAAACAAGAAAACTTTGTTTTCATTTTTTGATTTCATGTTAATTTTAAATGGTTTTGAGCCTATCAAATGATATAAGTATTTAAAATTTAGCTCAGTCGTCCCGGTAAATGCCGCAACTGCGCCATGACTGTACGCTAATCCTATTCCGTTTGTGATGCGAATTACCGGCCGTCGAGGAGTCAGCCCGGGTGAGCCAAACAAGATCCGTTTGACGTAGATAAAACGAATTAGTCTCATGTAACCGGTGCCGTAGATACGTTTGTGGGGAGCTGATGCGCATTAGCGTAGTGCGTATTTGGAACGGATCGCTCATGTAACCCCGGTAATAGATATAAAAGACTAGATGGGACATTGGCAGTGTTTTAGTGCGTGCGACTGGCCGCCATGTTTGTGAGGGCGGGAATCTGCGGCGCTGTGTAAACACTACGGGAGGAGGGTGGTATTTGAGACTGATTTTGTGGTATTTTTCGACCGAAAAGTGCTAATCTTTTTTGCTCACGGCATTCTTTGGAATGTGTAGATTGTGGAACAAGTGCTGAAATATGCTTATCTATTGTAATTTGGCTACGTTAGCCTTAGACATGTTGCACTGTTGCGCTGATGAAGAATAGGCGGCACCAAAGGTAGATTTACTTGGCATGCCTGTTTTAGGTTTAATTCAGTTCCCATGTTTTTTTTTTGTGCACACCACAATCCATTAATTATTCTTGCATGGATAGAGCATCAGTCATATGATTTTTCACAAAGAAAGCTTACCTAGATAGGTACCAGAACATTGGCAGCGGAAAGCAGACTCATTACCTACACTTGCTTTGCCTGCTCACTTTCTACTGTTGCCTTCAATGGACAATATTTATGAAGTAAGAAGGTTTTATGATTATAGGTTTTAAATAAGTACTTTACTTAATGTCATCAGTTAGTATTAAATAGTAGTTCAGTGCCAAACGAAAAATCCATGCACTATGCCAGATGCCTCGGGGGCTCTTATCCGCTCTGGGTTCAGAGTGCAGTGGCATACCACGCTCACCCTCAACCAGAGCTGATAGATAGTGAAAATGCCAGACGTTGTGATATCTGCACCAGTGAACCGTGTCGCACATTTGATCCCAATAATGAACAGCACAGGGGTGACGTAAAAATGTGCGTTAGTTGGAGCACCTAAACTCAGATTGTCATTACCTAATTAGTTTTCACATTGTAAAGCTTAAAGGGACCCTCCCACCTTCAAAAAAGTTTATGAATTGGCATGAAAGTGATGTCGCTCGGTTCAGAAAGAGCGAAAACGAATATCTACCAAATTTCACCGAAAAATATTCACCGGTTTTCAAGATATTAGACTTTTACTTTTGTTTACTTTTTTGGGATCTCCGCTGTTTCTAGCGACTTTATTTTAGAAGTGCGGCGTTTGCGGCAGATGTTGCGCGCAAATAGCATATACCACCGCGTGCTACAAAACGTTTTAGTCAAACATTTGAAAATCGTTAGATATCTGCGCTGACGTCACACATTCAGAGGGGTATACCTAAGCATTAGCCCCTCTGAATCAAAATGCTGCAATTTTGAAATTCAATATTTCCGATTTAAGGCATTTCTCGATGTTGTGAGTGCCGAAACCGGTAATTGTGAGCCAGGGACCCCATTTTGGCTATCTCAACTCAAATCTAATGTTAAGGTGGGAGGGTCCCTTTAAACTACACTTCATGCTCTTTTGGCTCACCTGTTATCAGTATCAGTAAATAGGGTATTAGTAAATCTGGCGTTACCATCAATGCTAAGTGCTAACAAGTAAATATGAAGTCCAAGGAAGATAAAAATCATAATCTTACTTGACCTAACCTTACCTACTAACCTAACTAACCTACAACCTACAAACCTCAACCTACATAACCTCCATACCTACAACCTACCCACCTACAACCTACCAACCTTATGTGCCGACGGTGGCACCAGATTTATGGATACCCTTATTTGTTAGGTACTTCACTCCACTTCTCATTTTATTTGAAGCTCATTTAAATTCTTGTATTTAAGTCTGTGTAAACTATTATTTTAAAAACCTGATGCTTTTCCATGACTGTAATCTCACTGTTTGCTATGTGTATTTTGTAGTGAGTACTTTGTGCAAATCCAGTATCCTACACTTGTATGCTACAGGCCTTGTTTTGATCTGACTAACTGTTAATATGTTTCAGCTTTAAAGACTAGTATCTTTTGAAATTGAAATTTGCCTCTCAGTCTCTCAAGAATCAAGATGCCAAATAGATGTGCAGGATTTGATTGCTGACAAACCAGGGATGAGGCTCAAGAGTCAAGAGATCACCCTGCATTGGCAAGTAAAAGCTACAGACTCTTGATTTTTTATATTGTTACAGGTTATCTGTCACCGAGAGCGATTACTGTAGTTCAATTTCTTGCATCAAAATTGGCAGAATATGACTTCACTGATCACTCTGACGTCATTTACGGCCGACCTATGGTAGCTACACAATTTTTATTTCTATAAAATGTTTCAGATTGATGCAGCCGAAGGTACTGCAAGTTTCGTATTGACACGTCTAGTGGTTTAGAAATATTGCAACAAATATATATTTTAATTTTTTCAATATATAAATGTAAATATTTTATTGCAGAAAACGGGAGAGGGGCTCTGTAGAGCCCCACCCTCCAGTCATGCGTGGGTAAAGGCCCATCAGTCACTAAAACCAGAATAAGTGCAAAAAATTATTACCAAATGCCCGGAGACTGCTTTACCATTGCCAACATGTGTGTGTGTGTGTGTGTGTGTGTGTGCGTGTGCGTGTGTGTCAACAATGTGTTAACAACAAATACAACACAATTGTGCCTGGCGTATGTTAACACTAAACACTATTAGCCATATTTTATTGATACTAATCGAACCTTCCAGGTGGCTGGAACAACCCCAGTGCCGCACAGTTCTGCGGGATATTCCGGCACCTGCTCCACCGCTGCGGCGTCCGGCCCGGCAGCACAGGGAAAGTGGCAGCCCTCGACCCGACCAGCATCCTGGCAGTCGGTCACACGACCAGCGGACGGGGAGCCAGCCTTACTACCTCGGCCTCCACCACCTCAGACAACGGTGCCACGGCACTCCACATCATCACGGAGCACGACTTCCAGCCTGGGCTGTCGTCTGGTGGGCAACATCGTCACCTACATCGCAGGGTTCGTGGTGAAGAAGGCGCTCGACTCTGTCAGCTGTAGCACCTGTCAGGAGGCCCTGGTGAGCGACATCCAGCCGGACGACATGACACAGCTTTACCACCTCTTCATCATCTCTGCCAGATGAGCTAAGGTGGGGACGGGTTACATGCCTGGGATCTGACTGAGACCCGCTCATACCCTGCCGAAGTGTTGGTGATTTCAGCGGTCAGCTGTCTCTAGCCGGTGTCAGTGAGTCGCGGCCAGCTGCCGCTGGAGTGGGTATCTACCGTCGATAGCTGCTGTGTGGCGGATAGCGTGGATTTGGATGGACACTTCATATTAATGAACAGATCAATGTCTGGCCGATAAAAGACGTATTTTGTCGATGATTGCTTAGTGACTGAGTGGGTCCACTGGCGACCAATGCAGTGGGCGCTGGGTTAACGCCTCGCCTCTTGTGACCGTGTCGATATGTAGCACTGTTAATTGCCGATTCGTTGCCGGCCGTCTCTGCTCCGTGGCTGGCTGATCCGGCACAAACTGGTGTTCGTGGCTGAAGGCGCGGCTACAGTTACACTAGCTCGCCACGTGCCTGTGCAACTATCGTCGGTGCTGTCTGCAAGGGCGATGTCGGTGCCTGTAGGGGGCGCGGATTGATTCAAAGTGAGGAATGGGTCATCGGAGCTCGGGTCAGGTCATGTTCGTCTAAAATAAGCGGATTTTGCGATTTGCCGCATCCGGGTGAATTTCCTTGCCTTCTAGTGCATGTTTATGCATTTTACATGCGTTTTTTTTTAGTGTTGATGTCTAGATAACGTGCATTTGCCTCGAGGTCAAGGCTGCGCTTCATATGGGCAGTTTTCGGAGCATCTTGCTCATTTCATTCGTAATTCTTAATTATGTTTGCGGATTTGTGCCCGCAAATCATTTTTTAAAGTAAGATTGACACGGGATTCGAGATCGGCGCCCATAAATACACTTCACATGACCCGCCATGTGTCAAGGCCATCCGAGGTCATCTAAGGTCGCTGACCTTGTATGACCTTATGTGACCCGGTTCGCTAGATTTCGAGATGAGGTTGATTGGGAATGATGTAACCCATTTCGCCGACAGTTCACGCGTTTTGGTCGATTTATAGCGAAAGATCTCAAACTCCAGTGACTTTACTGGTTCGATTTCCAGTGTTTGACCTGACCTCTGAGTTCACCCGTTGACCTAGTACCCTGAAATTTGGTATCACTGGTTTACTCACATCGCGGACAGCATACCTATTTTTTCCGTTCTTGCTCCGTCGAGGGGCGAACGGCTGGAGCACTCCGTTCGGCGTTCACCCTGGCTTCCCCTACTCGTAAGACGCTGACAAACTACGAACGGGTGAGGGCTAAAATTGCACTTATTGTCGATCATTGTCCATTGCATACTGCATACATAGATATAAAGTATGGTAGCCATAATGGGAAACGAATTTAATCTTAAATTAGCATGCCAATTGCATCTACCTTCGGTGCCGCATATCCTTTATCAGCGTCTTCAGGGCTATATGTCTAGGGCTGATGTAATTACATTACTATAAATACACATGTTTCTGCCGTTGTTTCACAATCTACTCATTCCAAAGAATGCCATAGGTAAAAAAGATTAACACTTTTCGGTCGAAAAATACCACAAAATCTGTCCCAAACACCCCCGTCTTCCCATAGTGTTTACACAGCGCCGCAGATTCTCGCCCTCACCAACATGGCGGCCGCTGCTACGTATTCGCGAGTCGCTCCCGACATGGGGGTGCCCTATCTAGTCTTTATATCTATGTGTGCCTTGCATATATTTCCATCCAGTATGAAAAGAGCATGGGTCCCGAAAATTATTCAGAAACTAGAGAAATTATCTACGAGAACTCTAGAGAAATTCTCGTACTGATCAATTAGGACGGGTGGGACTAAATGCTTACTTCGAAATCTAAGCAACGTTGCGGCATTGGCGGTTATGTGCGGCGTGTATGCCGCATGATTAGTAAGAGGCGACCACTAAATTAAAGACTCAAACGCTCCGACCGGTTCTCAATGAATAACACTGCATACCAAAAATGCCAACCGCTCTCGTCATAAGATATTCAGCTTTAAATAACTAGGTTATCTACATCATCATTTTGAACCAAATTAATACTTTCAACTTAACTCACTCATTCCTTCCTTTGTTGTCTCCAAACAGTCGTTCGATTGTCTGGAAATCGTATGCTAAATCCCGTACCTGTATGCGACTGGTGCATATAAAGGCCGATAAAAGAATTTGAATAGGCTCTGGCATGCGATTTCCTGGCTACCCAAAAAAGTCTGTTTCAGTCTTGCTATCAAAACATGACCTCGCCCGCACGGGGGGGGGGGGTTGATGCAACCCCCCTAAGGTTTTTCGCGAATAACTCGCTTAAAAAGCGGCTGATCGCGACGAAACTTTCAGTACCCTCGCATTGATCAATTTAACACCCATCCTGAAAATTTCATGACCCTGACCCAAATGACCTTTGACCTGTGACCTACTTTTCGAGACCATGTTTGGCCGGAACCGCGATTCAGCGTATGTCGGCTCGCATTAGCAGCGCGTTTGCAGTCTTTTCGTGGTTTCAAGCGTTCAAACATGTGATATGATGTTGCCCCCATGCATTAGGGTGGGTGTCAAGGTCACCTGAAGGTCAGGTCAGGTCATTGACCTTTGGTGACCTCGGTTCACTTTTTCGAGTTTGACATGTTTCTAGGTCAGTTTTTTCGAGCTGAATTCGAATTAAGCAACCACATGAACGTTTACAAAGTAGTTTTGGTGCCTTCGTAACATGTTACGAGGCTGTCAGAGGCGGTTGACACCTACTACAAATACCTGGCAGGACCTCTACTGGTTGACCTGACCTGACCTAACCCGACCTGGCCTAAATGAATGAAGACATCATCTGTGATCAAAACTAGCATGATATTCGTGATCAGCACCCCGAAAAAACCCATAGCAGCCACACTACGACGTTCTAACAGGTCCCAATTTTCCCGCCTTTTGGGTCATTGACCTGACCTGGAAGGTCAACCGATAACCTAGGACCTTAAAATTGGGTATCATCGGCTTTCTCTCGTCACGGGCAACACGCTCGTTTTTTCCGCGAAGCTCTAGCTTGATCAGGAGCGAAACGGCAAGGGGTTATACCTTATACGTTCGCGGCTGAGTATTAATTTGGTTCAAAACAATGATGTAGATAAGTTAGTTATTTAAATCTAAATATCCTATGACGAGAGCGATGGACATTTTTGGTATGCAGTGTTATCCATTGAAAACAGGTCGAAGCTATTGAATTTTTAATTTAGTGGTCGCCGCTTACTAATCATGCGGCATACACGCCGCACATAACCGCCAATGCCGCAACGCAGCTTAGATTTCGAAGTAAGCATTTAGTCTCACCCATTAGGACATTCAGGGGAACATTATCAGATCGAGCAGATCGCCCAAATGCCGGTGGCTGCGATAATTTCTCTGTTTCTGAAGAATTTTCGGGACCCATGCTCTTTTCATACTGGATCGCGTGTGCCTTACAGAAACTGAAAAGTTCTTCCTATATCAAAATATAGAAAAAAACTCTTTTGTTATAAAAAGGTTTTATTTTCTTTGCTGATTATTTTGAACATAAAAAATCATAAATCGTTGCAAAAAAATAATTTCGTGAAAGTGAACTATTTCCTTTAAGTTGAAATGATGTGTGTAAGTAAAACAAGCCTGGCCAAAACTCAGTAAGGAAACAAAAAATGTACCTATCTGGGTAGGACTTGTGGTATCTAACAAAACTTTCGAAGAATAAAATATTTATTATTTCTATCATACATTCTATCATACTCACCCATACAACTTGCGAATGGAAGGGATTGTTTTCATTTATGGCGCATCTCCGACATATCCCCATTTGCTACCATATTTTAGACTGTCATTAGGCTTATACTGGGCTTATACTAGGTGACTTTTGGCTTAAATTTCAAGCATTTTGCAAGAACGATAAATGAAATCACACCGTTGATTTTACCTTTTTCAATCAAATCTCAAGGAAAGAGCTATCTACTAAACTATTTTCCAATAATGAAGTGCTTTAGCAGAATGCTTAATGCTAACAGTTCACATTTTCACTAATTTTGATATCCCATCTTTTTTTGCTGGTAGATAATTCATTTTATGAGCATAATCATTAATAATCATCAAGCAATTTTCAGAAAAATTTGCTAAAAATAGCTCTTGGAAGAAAAAATAGTCAATGAAAATTTCGCTTGGCGAAAAAATCTAGGCGAGATCTTGGCTATCTACTGGTTTGGGATGGTGTGAACGTTTCCTTTATTTCGTGCTTCGTGTCGCAGAGTGGATGGAATCCAAAACGGCGTCATGGCGTCATTCGTGAGGCGGCTACCGTGAGGTGAGTACACTACTGTTGTGCTTTTCTGGATTAATTGCAGTGTTTCTTTGGTGATACTGAGTAAGTGAAGGTGTTTAGGTGTTTGCTTACAACCGAGAATTGTCTTTACGTTTTCTCTGTCATCAATATGTATTCTCACTCACCGCGAGTCTCAGTCTGTGATATCAACTCAGACTCTTGAATTGAAATTGACTTTGGCATGGGTTGGGGTGGTTTATAATTATTGATTGTGATCGTCAACTTGTAATGACTGAAATTCTGGATTAAGAATTTTTAAATAGGCAAATCCTAGTGATAGCCTCAGTTGAAGTCAACAAATGGCACTTGCTAGTTGCTACACACCAAGTTAATTTCAATTTTTGCTGTGTGGAATTGAGATTTGAGGATATGCTTTCATGTTTTATAATTTAATGCAATGCCCTTATTTTCATATTATCCTGCATTTCAATTTGTGCCTCAACATATTTCCTTCCCACGATGCATTGTGATTTGTGTCTGATGCACATTGTATGAGGAAATGACATTGAAATTCATTTTCTATTCCAGGCTTACACCAACACAGTGCAGTTTATCAGTCAGGAACTGTTGTTTTAAAATCCAGCAACCATTCAAGCAACAATGAATATTATGTCAAAAAAGAAGAAGTACAAGTTCCAGGTGGACCTTGAAGTGGAGGAGCTGACGGCAGTGCCATTTGTCAGTGCTGTACTCTTCTGCAAAGTGCATCTACTGGATGGTGGGAAGTTCATGGATCACTCTACCAGGTGAGGCATTAAAGTTTGATATAATTGCATCAATTTCTCATTCTGCATGCGTGCAATACAATAGGTATGGCAGAAAATATGCATATTTTTGAAAGGTTTTACCTCAGGTCAATGTTTTTATTTCAATAATCCAGAGGACAAGGACCACCATTATGATGTAAGTGACAACTGGTTAAGATGAGGTCACTTGCAAAAGTTCCCATTTAAGTGATGAATAACCATATGCTTTATCACATAATAACTTCTCTAAAGAGACATTTTCTGCCATTGAATTTGTAATGGGAATCACAGAGTTGGTTGGACCCCAGGTTGAGGTCACACGATGTTGGCATGTGCTTGCAATAAGTTCCAGTGTTCAGTATCTCCATTGTGTTAAGTCAAAACTACATTGAAATGGTAATTTGGATATGCGACTAAGTCGATCGTCGTCGAGTATGCACGACGACGTATACGACACATTGCCACTGCGTAGCCACCGCGAATTGTGATCAATTTAATTGGTGGCACAAACTAGCAATTCAGTTTTCAATTGATTTGAGATGCACCTCCTATCATCTGCATTAGTGAACTCAGCGTCTTATAGTCTTGAGAATGACTGATGACCCAGGTTCTCCCTCTCCCAAACTCGGCCGACAAAACCAACATCTCGCCGTCTCTCAGGAACCGCCGACGGTTCCGCAACTGACAGGTTCCCCGGCTGACTGTGACCTTGCCTGGGGCACCTCTGCGTCGGTGACCGCCCGCCCGCTGGCAGCGTGCGGTCCGGGTGCCGCCCGGTGGGTCATTTGTCACGTCGTCTGTCCGGCGGCGTCACTGCGCCATTGTGGGCTGACGGCGCTGTGGGGGACCAACCACCGCCGCAGGAGCTGGTGTGGGGCCTGCTGGTCAGTGGGGAAGTAATTGAGAAGGGTGGTCCCACTCCCGATTATGGATACTCGGGTATCCATGCCCTGGTGCTGCTATTCATGCCGTGATGCTGGGACCCGTGCCTCAAGTGATGGGATGGGATGGGATGCGCATTCTCCGCCCTGGGTCATGGGATTCGTAGCTCGTATCTTGGGTTATGTAATACAGACACCGGAGTAATTTGATAAGTATCTCCGAATTCTGCGATGCGCACTCCATGTGGCGTGATACTGCGAACCTCGAGTTGGACTGATAGCTGCACGTGGCGTTGTTATTGGCCGTAAGGCGTACAGCCCAACTGCGTGGACGGAAAGACTGATCATCTGAGGCTGTCTCTGGCGGAGGGTAGCGGCCGCGACGGTCGTCGTCGCCCCAGACGGCCGCCGGTCGAGGTCGGGGTCAAATCCGTCGGCCCTGGGCGCCGCTTGGTGGCCCCGCCAGCTGCCGATTGGGGTCACCCGTGACTCGGACGACCCTGTGGACTGACACCCCTCCCTTCCCACGCCGAGTAGAGGTACGTCGGCTCGCAGACATGGATTGATAGACTGGCAGCCGGGCAGAGGAAAACAAATTCAAATGAACGGTATAGACGGCTGATGTGCGGAGATTCAGGCGGGAGGACGGGCAGTGTGCTTAGAACTGAATGGCCAGACAGCTCTTGGCAGCTGTGCCTGCGAATGATGTGTAGGCGGTGAGGCCGTGGCCAGTGCATGAGCCCAAATATTGGCTTTGAATTACAGCGCTGATGTAGTTGTGACGGATCGTGTCCCGCCTCCTTTACCACACATTTATGTATCACTGTCCGTTTTCCGGCCATGTGATAACCGATCCTCTGCTTTCCTCGCTCCTCTGCTCGGCTGGATGCCTAACACCCTCTGTTTAGGACGCCGCCCCTGCGACTGCTGCAGTGCCGCCCTTTCATGCACTGCTGTCCTTCACTGGTTATCATCAATGCTCTGTCGTTTTGGCTACCCTCGGGTCATGAGGTACAGTGGAGGCTTTCCGCTCGTCGCTCTGTTGAATGCCCAGCGCCGGACTGGTCGTGCTGTTGGGGATCTTCCTGCCGCGATGTTCTTTTTTCGGGTGGGGTCGACAACTATCAGTCCTGCTGTTAGGTCAGCCCCTGGCCTAGGTCAGTTCTGTGCTAATACCGTCCCTGCTGTCGCGTCGGCCCTGTTGTCAGGCCAGCTTTGCCGGCGGCTATTTTGGGGCCAGCTCTGCCTTCGTGTCAACGCTGTCGTCTTGCCAACCCTGTCCTCTGATCGGTTTTGATTGTCTGGCCGGTCATTTTGTTTGGTCCAGTTTTGCTTCCGTTAGTCCTGTCGCCTCAGCTAGGTCAGCGGTCTCAGTCCTGTTGTCGGGCGCGCTGCGGTTCGACTCTGCCGATGATCAGAGTGACCTGTGACCGACCGATCAGCGCCCCTCAGTCCCACTTTCATGTTTCATTAGCAGCGCCATGCATTATTGAAGCGCTCCGTCTGTGGCGGCTACTGCTGCCAGACCGGTGTGGCGTGTGCAAGTGCAGTGGGCTCTTCCTGGTTGGTAGTTACCGTCGCGCCCGTCCTTGGTCATTAGCGACTGCTGTGCGGCTCATACCGGTCTTGGCTAGTTCTGTCCCAACGCCCGCTAAAATCGGGGAGCGAGCGAGAGCCTGTTGACGGCTACCGTCTTTGGTGCGTGATTGTCGGTGTTGCATAAGAATTAAGAGGCACGGACTATGATGGCTTTCAGTATGTTGCGAAACGCTACCCTTTTATGACCCGGCAAACGCTGTTGTCCGGCGTACGTGTGCACTTGCACGTAAGCCACAGAGTCCAGGATTTGTATCGCTTTCAGGTCACAGGGCACGAAGTTATCGGACTGTGCCTACTGCACACAGTAGCTGGTTTGTCACGCCGCAGAGTGGCGAACATGCCGGGACAAAGGTATTGTGTTACTTGCCATGACCAGTAGTGTGACACGTTGTGCGCCATGGCTGCTGGGCGCCGGAGTCTCTTTGTCGGTTGCTTCAGACACGGACTTTCATCGCCATTTTGAGAACGACATCCCTGCCCTGAAGTGGTCGTTATGTTGTGCTGAAATCAGAGCTGCACTACAAGGCATGCCGACAAAAACCGGTCTTGGTGACGCGGCATCTGTCCGCCGGAGACTGGCACGCGGTTATCTCGTTCTCGGTCTGTTTGACTGCACCGCTCTGGCAGCGTGTGTGAACGACGAGATAACGGGCGTAGGTCAGGTTGTTACGAGTACGGTCACAGCTGTTTTGCCGGTTAGTGCACGAATCGATTTTGCAATCGGTGCTAGCGGGAAACTGCAAAATATCACGTTCGGTACCCCTCACCTTCCTCTCCTCCGTTGAGGTAGCCATCTTGGTTGGTGCCTCTCCATCCATGCCTCTCGTCGAAATACAGTGGACAACGGCTCTTCTCCAACTCTGATCCGTCGTGTTATGCCGCAGTCCTTGGTAAAGACCGCAGTTGACAGTTGACACTGTGAATCAGACCACATTCCCAAGCCGGCACGAGCGCCTCGCTCGAGCCTCCGGACCAGTTCGTCCCGGGAACCACGTCTCACTCGGCACACACCAAGGGCCACTTGACCTTCCCAAACAGCTCGGAGACGACGCGGCCTCCACATTGGCGCGGCTGTACCGAAGGATGGACGAGGTTGGCTGTGTTTTTCGGAAATGACGCACGGTGGGGCGTTCCGCTTCGCTTGTAGTCAAGTCTGATGCTTGCGATTGCGGCATGCTTTGCCGACTGATGATGTGTGTTTGATGTGGTGCCCAGAGCGTGCCAACCGCGATTACAGCAGAGTGATAAGTGAGTGACGTCTTGGCGAGTCTGGCAAGGGCACGATGGTTCCTCGGTGGCTTCTGGTAGGACTGTGTTCTGTTAGGATATGGATAAATATTTTCAAGTGGTTTCCAAGCATCTGGATATATTTTCAGAACCATGGAAAGAGATAATCGGAGGAAAGCTGTTACAGCGGTGACGTTCGAGGCTGTTTAGGCGGCATAGCCCGATTGCGGTGAATAACAGCATCGTGTATGGATTGTCATCGGCCACCCAGAGCAGATCCATTGTCTAGCACGTTTAGTCGTGTTGCCCCCTGAAGCAGTGCGGCGGAGTCGTGTCTGCGTGACTCCGTGCTGTCGCCGGCGCCGCGGCAGCTCCGTCCGTCCGTCCCAGCGACCTTGGTAGGTGGCAAGGTCAGCCGGTGGAGCTGATCGCGGACGACAGGGCCGGCGCCCGCGCTGTCCGCCGCTCGTCACGGCCGGACAGAGCGACTGGCGAGAGGGGCGACAGAATCCCGGCGGTCCATTGGAGATCAAGGACAGGTCCAGATCGTTCCGCGAATAAATTGATCAGAGACCATTGATCGGGAACGAGAAGTCTGATGACGATCATAAAAACTTAGCTTCTTAACTTCTTTCTTGAAAGTCGAAGACGATTTACTCCAACGAGCCATGCATCTGAAGGGATCATGCTGGCAGCAAAAAAGTGCAATCATCTGGTAACTTTTTCTTATATTTTTTCCATGTCTCGGAGCTACCTGTGGCTCACCAGGAAACGTTCCCGGAAACACTCCTCCCGGACACGCACTGGGCCATTAGCTGCATTACCAGCTGACAGACCATGGCCACTCCTGGCGCCGTCGGTCGCCACAGGCGCCGAGCAGCTATCATCTCGCTAAGTAGCCAATCGCCCGATGACGCAGCCCGCCAGTCGCCACCGACCTGTGATGGACGGATCCCCGGGTCGGAGACGGATAAGATCAGAAGTGGATTATCCGAGCGCCTCGCCTGCCCCGCAGGGTGGCCGCCGCATGGTGCGCCACACAATAACAAACATGGCCTCATTGGCGGCTGCCGATCTGGATTCGGAGTGGGTGTTTGTTGACGGTGCGGTACGCGGGTGGTCGCGACTCGGGCGCCCTGCGGAGGTCCCTCGCGGAGGTGGGCGCTGACGATGCTCTGGGCTGTCGGAGGCGCGCTATGTCTCGATCGCTCTCTGTCAATCCTTGGCATGTATAATAATCCGTCTTGGGTTTGGCTACGAGTTTGTGCGTGGTTTATCCATTGGTCCGGCGCGTAGTTTGTCTATCTCTGCTGGCTTGCTGACTGGTATGCTGTCACTGGTAGGGTCGGTCGTCAAGGGTTTGGTCACGGGTCCGTCGTGGTTTATCCATTGCTCCGGCGCGTGGTTTGTCCACCTCTGCTGGTTTGCTGACTGGTATGATGCCACTGGTGGGGCTCCACTGGAGGCGCGCGGCACGTTGGAGACCGATGACGTGTCCCAGCCTCCCTCCCACCGTGAGGTGTCACCCCTGCCCTCCCGCTGGGCAGGCTGGCTGGGTTGGGGGGTGGGCTCACCGGGCTCACCATTCCACTGCTGTATTACTCATTCACTCACTCATTCCTCTCGCCATCCGTTGCTACGGTCACGGTCTAAGCCCGAAAGCGAAACGGTGAGCGGGAGTGATGGCTGCGAACCGAGCCTCTTCACTGTTTGTTAAACCGATATACGGGTCCGGGCCGAGGATAGACTTCTCGAAGCCGAAGCCGTTTCAGTATCGGCCTTCCTGGAATGCTAATATTGAGATTTGGGACTATCAATCTTTCACGCTTCACGCTCGCTCGTAATAACACATGGCTGGAGCAGCTTAGGACGGTTGGTTACAGCGTTTTAGATAGTAACCGTGTGTGTCGTGTTTTAGACACGCCATTCGCTTAGATCCGGTTGCTACCGTGTTGCTCGGCCTTAGGGGTGCCGTCTAAACAATTTTCACCCGTGTAGATGGTGGGCGAAACTTGCAAAGTTCGTGAGCAGGTGTTTGTGCCGGATGTGAAGTGACGTTTTTGATGGGTGTGGGCAGGTGTTTTTAGTGATTGACGTGCTCTTGAGCTTGCAATATTTATGACGGACGTTTGTGACATCTAAGAACCTACGATCGATAACCCTAACCCGAGGATTACGATTTATGTGGTCTTGTGTTTGCTTTTATGCAATACAGTATGAATGACGTTATTGAACCAACATTTATGACATCTCCCTCTGTGTTTCTGCAGGGAAGAGGTGCACGACCACATGGTCAAGTGGAACGCACGGATGTCGTTCACGGCCAAGATGACAGCGCCCTGCAGCACGGGAGTGCTCGACTCATGCGTGTGCCGGGTCTCCGTCAGAAAGGTGGGTCCGCGCTTCTCATACTTGTGTCCACCCCATCACTTCAGATCTGGTTTACCAATCCAAAAAGCGGGTATGGGTAACTTTTAATTCCTAGCTTCGCATTCAGGTAGCGTTGGTCCAACGCGAAACCAGAAGCTCTTATGAAAATCCTCCAAACTTGCGATAAGAACCGGTAAAGCGCCCCTTTCTAAACACTCCGAGCGTATGCATAAAACATCATGTTTCCCAACGTGTGTGGCCCTTCTGTAAGTGGCATCTGTGGCGTAACACCTGGTGCCGAGACGATCCTCTCAGCTTCCCGGCACTACTTCTGGCTTGGCGGCTTCCATCCAGCCCAGATGAGACATCCCTCCTTGTATGACGTCTTACAAGTCTGTCGGGTGAGGTCACTCCCTCGTGACACGGATGACGTCACCCACCGGAGAGGAGCGGTGGGTGACGTCATACACGCTGCTCCGCTCAGTTCTATTTGGTTACGACCAAAGTGAGCCGGCTGTATGCAGCAGTCACGTGCTCTCCTCTCATTTGATGACGTCACCCCCGGGTGATATCGCCTCGCCCTCGGATGACGTCACGGCCGTGTGATCAATACCTGCTGGGGCGCCCGGGCCGGCCCGCGGTTCGTCTGAAGGCCGCGCCCCTGGCTGGAATGACGTCATACATTCCCGGGAGCTCGGGTTCGTGACCGGCGCGGTGGGAGCGTGCCCCGAGGCAGTGTCGTGCGACCAATGGCTAGTTACGTGACCTCTGCGACAGGTGGAACCGCACCCGAGAACCGGTGCCAACCAGTTCCGGGGGGTATGGGGAGCTGCCAACTGTCTCAGCTGCTAACGGAGGGGGGATGGTCTGTCAGGCCCATCCAGGGGCAGTCTTTGAGCTGTCAGTGCCAGGTGATTGAGATTTAGTCGGACGGTAGAACCATCGGGAGAGGATAACGGGTCGCATGTCGCCGCTGTATAAGGCCAATGTCGGCTTATACAGCGCGTATAAGGCAGTCCCGCATCGGCTCGGACTGAGCAGACTACCAAGGACCCTCCGTAGTGGGTATTATGGAGACGCACCGGTAGACCGCCTTGTTCGCCGGGCCTGCGGCTGACGGATGGTTCTCCCAACGGCCGGCGACCGGCCGGTTCTGCGAGTCGTCCATCTGGTCCGGTCGCACGCCAGGAGCCGCCCGTGTCAATGGACAGTTTCTCTTTTATGGCCGGGTCTGGTTGGGACGGCCACGGAACTGGGCCTTTGTTCACCTCACGCGGTAGCAGTCCCGGTTCGTTCCATTCTTGGTCCTGTCTGAAATGGCCGGTGACTGAGACTGAAGACACCTGCTGTACGAAGGAAACAACTGGCGAGATACTAACGGCGATGGCTTGGCCGTCCTCCTTGAGCCGCCATTTGCTTTTATTTATCGCCTTCAGCAATGGTTGCCGTGTTTAGTCCCTTCTCAGTTCTATTCATCAGATAATGCCTCAAGGCGCACATCTAGCACCATTGCAATATTGCTGTGCTGTGGGGATATCCCTGCCAGTCCGTGAAACGCTGCAGTATTTGTCGGCTCCTTTATATGCGATTCTGTTCGGGAGCTATCCAAATCAAGGAAGACGATCTTTTGACGCCCCTTTAGTAGCGGTGATCGGGTACGTCAGTGTTTCCGATAAGATCGAACTGGGGCCGCTGTAAACAAAGACCGGGTGTGGCGGCAACGGTGTGGGACGGGTCTGCTCGGGACCACCGCTGTGGTGGTCGAGAAATATGAAGGCCGAGTGGCGACAAGGGCGATTAACAGCTCCTTGTTACTGCCGTTACCGGCACTTTTTGTTATTGGTTCCCCCAGTGCGGTGACATTGTTTGGCGATGTTTTGACTTGTGAAAATACTTGCTGGCAAGGTGCAGTCCCGTTACCATTTTCCTATCGAATTCCTGAAATATCTGCTATGTGATACTGTCATAATGCAGGCTAGCTGCTTTGCACCAGTCAGTCACCTGGCGACCTTCTGGAGCACATGGCTGTCCGCTGTATTAGCACTTGTCTCGAGTAGTTTGCTATCGGCACACGCTCTCCGACACGATCCCCCGAAGAGCTGTTTGAGCAGTGACGCGAGTGTTTGGTGACGCATCGACCAACGTGGGAGGCCCCGGTGTGCCGCCCCGCGTGGGTCGGGTGCTTCCCCGTTACCTGACGCTCCCGAGAACACCTCGACATATGGTCCAGGAAGATGACCAGATATTCTACGATTGGCTGCTCCCGCTGGCCGGTCGTGAGGGAGTCTGGATCAAGTGGCGTCCCAAGAGGCGATGTCGTAACGAACGATGTCATTTCGCAAGGCGACGTCTGGCCAGGAAGCGAACCACGTGCCAATGGGTTATGTAATTACCTGACATGTGGTTGGAAGTTGAGCTCGAACTCGGTTACTCTTGCCAACCGCGTTCCTCCCTTGGGAATGCATAGTGTTAATAGTTTTCAGATTGCCCAACAGCTGAGCGTGCCATGGGACGTGAGAAAGTGTCTCCCAGAGTCGCTCGTTTTCTGGGTGAAACGACGCGACCAATAGCGCCAGGCGGACGACGCCGGCTGCGCGGCCCCGCCGCAGCTTTCCCCAGTTAGAAGCGCCTGGCACGTTTCTGGCGGCCTATCCCGGTCTCGCGGGACGCGTTGGCCCATCTGTGTGCCGGTCCACCCGTCGGCTCGACATGTCTGCGCTGTGTCTCTCTCTCTCTCTAGGCGAAAGGACTCCGTTGGCAGCAGATGGTCGTGAACCGCTCAGTGTCGTGTGCCGGTAGTCGGCAGACCGCCGCGCCGCGCCGTGGGGTGTCGACGCGACGCTGACTCACGCTCACAGCCGCCGGAGTGGCGGAGTGCCACACCGCCTGGTGTCGGCTCCCGTGCGCCACTGACACACTGCCAGTGTGCTGGATGATGTGCCTGTGTCTGTTGGCTATGGTACTGGAGGCCGAACAGTGCGTCGGCTCCTGTGCAGTCGCCAGTCGTAGCTTCCTCATTTTGGTGAATCTCAACGATGTAAATGGATCAAACCTTACCGGGTGAGGGGTGAACCTTGTCAGGGATGCTTGCTGCGTATATGAATTCCATTGAAAATGTTTGGCATGCTTGCCTAGCGATATGATTTTCTTATATGTGCAAAGTAAGGGACTTGCACTTTGCATCGCTATTCCGGATGTATCTATGACTGTTGTCTACAACACGCTCTCCTGGATGAAATTTCATGTGAGCACAGAGATGGAATACGGATAAGAGTCCCATCTGTTTATTCATGAGTAGGTCGGCGATCAGGTCGTGAGATCTTGCTGCCTGTTTTCCTACTTTCTGTAAACGAACTTTCTGAACCGCTGCGGACCCAACCAAACCCACTAGGACCGAGACTGACCCATTGACCGGATGATCCTCTCTTGACCCGGCCGCGGAGGGCGGTCAGCGCGTGCTGAGCCGGTCAGGCCTGAGCTGCCGTACTGCCCAGCCCGATATGGAGCGTTGTGTTATGATCGGACTCGGTCAAGTAGCTGTAATCCGGTGAAACCGGCCAGACGGAAGCAGCCTCCGGTCGGTCTGTGCTGCCCGCGCGGCTGCGGGCCGACCGGGGCGGGGCAGCTGGGAAGGAAGTCCGGTGTGGCGGTCAGAGGCGCGCGCCTAGTCGCCAGCCGACAACGGGAGCACGATCGGCCGGATGTCTGTGGTTGCGAGCTATGTTGGGACGCCCGGTATAGCAGGGGACCGGAGGGCCAAAAGGCGTTTGAACTTTGGTCGAACCGGAGCATGTCGGCTGGCGCTCGGATCAGGGTGCTGCAACGCCGTGGAATAGCAGAGGGCCAGAGCGATGCTGGGGCATTGATGGCCGGTAGTCAGTTGTGTCGATTCTGCAGGGGATTTGGACTAGGTTTGCCACTGGGTTTGCTAGCCGGCCACCCCGTCAGTACCGACACGGAGGGCTGACCGCATGTCGACTCCAACCGTGACATGACGGCTGACGAGCGTGTCGTGACGTAATGTGACTGGCGTGACGCGCCGGCTGACGGTCTGACCTCGACCCCGACCCCGGCCCCGGCGCCACGGCCGGCGGCACGGTGACACGGCACGTCAGCGGGTGGGTGCAGCCGCCCGGGGCGCTCGGCACACGACCCGGCCCGGCCCGGGGCTGTCGGCATGCGGGCAGCGTCCTCGACTGTCACCAGCGCAGGGCGTGGGGGGCGCCGGGTGAGCACTGCAGGATGTTTATGACGGAGAGTGTGAGACGCCGAGTGCAGATTTATGTAATGTTTATTGCGGGCGTGGCAGGCTCCCCAGCATATGTAATGAAGAAGCCGTTCCTCTGTGACGGCTGGCAGAAGATATGCTAATGATGTATGTTTGCTGCATGGCGTGAAATGAGGTCGGATTCTGAGTACGATTGGCTGGCTGCATAGTCCCGGTTCGACTGGTTGGCTTCATTAAGTGCAATGCAAGATAACTTCTTATGAATGCAGTGCTAACAGATTTATGCTAACGAAGTGGACGTGCCTCTTGGCAAAAACATTTCGCTTAGGGCTAGACAGATGATATTCCGTTCCGCTTTTTTTTTTTTGTCTGAAGAGTTACGGCCGTGCCTAGGCCTATGGGCTTGTCGTGTCTAATGCCTATAGCTGTGAACCTGTGCAAGCATTGCTGGATTCAGAGCTTTATTTCCAGGCTTTTGGGGGGCCCGCTATAGTCTCTGGGTCCGGTCGGCGACTTCTGCAGAGCTGGATCAAGTCTTATCACCGGTATATCCGATCTTGCCTTCGCTCCGACTGCCCAACTGGTCAAGCCAGCTAACGTGCTCCCATTCACCTCCCCTCGTTCCTGACCCATCCTGACCTGCCGGTCGCACTGATGCGCCCCGTCCGACCACTCTAACCTGGCCCCGTCTGACCACTCTGACCGCGCTGCTGACCGTGTTCCTATCTGACCATTCCGGTCTGTGCGCTGACTGGCCCCTTCTGACCACGCTGACCGCTGGCCGTATCAGTGT